AAAGAGCAGCCACCATATATCAAAGTGCCTTTCAGTTTAGAGGAAAGTCAGTCGACAGTTTAGACTCCTTCAGTTTTTGAACAAGATTTGCAGAAATCCAACCAGACACAGGTCTGCACAAATACACTGCTCACAATCACAAGACCAACCTGTTATGCACGTACTTGTTCTTCTTCTGAGCCTTGGGACATTTAGAACTAGACCAGAATAATTTATTGGATTGACTATCAGAGAAAGCTCCAGCTTCCATATTGTAGAGGAAACTCATTCCACAACTAGAAACTGCAGTGCAGCTACTATACAAATGAATCAGTGCATGTGAGCTTGTAATGCAACAGCTACCACAAGAGGCTTCTCGTCTTCCACAAGGACATAATCAAATGAGATTCACAATGTTATGCCGGCTTAATTACTCATGTATTGAGAATGTACAAATCTGACAGTGTCTGGGAGGAGTCCTTGAAAGAGCTCAATCTGATGACCAATAGGAATTCATCTGTGAAGCAGTGCAGATAATTGCAAGCTACAATAAATTATAAGGATTTAAAATGGCACGTTAGGATTGACTCGGGCGATATCTATCACACAGTCTCCATCTGCACAAATGGAACCCGAGTCCGAGAAGAACGTTGGCAAGGCGGAGCCAGAGAAGGCAAGGATTGTACAACACGGAAACAGGCTATTCGGATCAACCAGCTCGTGAAAGTGTTTATACTCCACATGAGTCTCTCCACCCATACCTTCTATTCCCCTTTCCCTCATGTAAAATCCAGCTTCCTTTTAAATGCATCTGTACTAATTGATTCAACTACTGCTTCGGGCAGCGAGTTCCACAATCTCACTACCCTCTGCATGAAGTAGTTCCTCCTAAGTTCTCTTCTAGATTCCCAATCTTATCTTATACTGCTCAACATGCCCAAAATTTCAGCTCCGCTTGCAAAACATGTGGGACAAAAAATATTTTTAGAATTATCCAACTGGACCACACCCCAGTCCATAACAACAACTTGTACAGCAGCCTTCAAACACAATAGTGTCTTGGAGCATTTTAGTCATTCTGCTCAACCCAAAAATAATAGTTTCCTGCATTTCTTCCTAATTGCCGCTCAGCACTGCATCCCACTCAAATGACAGCAGACAGACCTCACATCCCCTCTGAACTTATCATTTTGGAAATGATTCTCGATTTATTCTGGCCGAAGAATTGCTCAAAAGGCTGAACTAGCAGATTGGTTGAAACCAGCAGTGTGTTCCTTTAGCGTGACAAGCTGCCAATGACACACTGTCACCCAAAACAGCTCTGTGGTACAAGTCATAGGCATCGTTCTAAAGGGACAAGTCAATCAACGGAAAAATATCAAAGGGGCTGCAGGAAGAAGCTCCTAAATGCCCCCTAAATGTGTGATATTACTACTTATCATTCACTAAATAGTTTTTTTGAGAGCCTCATTTTAATGAACAGTTGTGGCTCACTTTACCAGAACGAAATTAATCTCCTGGGGACGTTGCAAAAACCGCAGGGAATATTTTTTCATTAACGTTTGCTGCCAAGGCCAGATCCGCATCCGTCAGAATATAACATGACCATTTAGACACTCAGTGGATGAGGATGAGTATGCAGTGGTCACAGCGACACTATTGCCATGGGAACCGTCTTCATTTGTCTTTTGCCAGTAATCTGAAAGCAGCACTCATCAGCGCCGTGCTGCCAAAAGTCTCATTTATTTTCTAACACTCAATTGCCAGTGACCTGCAAGTTGCAGCACTGAGACTGTGCTGCGAGCCATTTTAGTTTGAATGGTCAGTAACGAGATCTCAGCTTGAGCTCTCTTCTGGGCATCGTTACATAGAAAAACTATTACCACGCTGAAAATTCAAGAATAATCTTGATGTTCTTACCAGCTATTTGGTTTTCAGCACTGAGATACTGAGGCCTCCTCCAGTTCAAGTTTCAACTTGATTTGACCCAAGGTGATCCAGCTCATCAAACTCAAACAGAGTTCCAAGCATTTGAACAGCAGGTCATTTAGAACTAGGGCCAGTTTGGGATTTATTGGCAAACTCTGAATATTGGCTTCGCATCTTCCCCGCACTGATAATTCTATACATACGGGACACTGCTGTGTGCAATTGGCTACCGCGTTTCAGTCACAAAATATACAGTCAATTTCGCTTTACAGTATATTCTGTGAAGCACTTTGAGACGTCTCAATGACATGATAAGATGCTGTATCAAATGCAAGGATTATTTTTATTATTATTCTTATTATATATTCTGGTGCAAAACAAAACCCTGTTTGTATCTTAAAACAACCCGGGTCAAATAACTTGGAAAATTTAAGAATCAGTAATTCTGAATGGACACCTTTTGGTAACTGTATACTTTCACAGTTAATGGTACCATGCAGCTCCTAATAAGCTTATTTTACCTACAAAATACAGTTGCTACATTTTACAGAATGTCCTGTGAAGGGCTTTGAGATGTCGTCCCATTATACAAAGCGATATCAAAGGTGAGGGTTATTATGATTACCAATAAACCCAACTGACTGTGGAACAGAATCACTGATAGCAGCAACTCATTACTATTAGTATTTTGCTATTTGTATAACATAGACCACACCTAGAAAACTGTGCAGTTTGGATGATCAATTAAGAGACAGGATATAGAGCCATCGGATACAGCAGGATGTCAGTCTATGAAAGTATACAGTTGCCGCAAAATGCTTAAGGAAAACCATTTGCTGGAGTCGGGAAAACTAAGAAGGGAAGTAAAACATGTAATCCAAACTAATGAAACGTTTAGATGGAGAACGAGAGAAGAATTAATTTCGACAGGTGGGCAAGTCAGCAACACAGTTATATAAACACAAGATTATTACTGTAAGTATTAAGGAGGCTAGAGGAAATGTGTTCACAAAAAGAGTTAATAGGATAGCATTTCTGCCAAGTGGCTTTTGAAGCCAAGGGAATCATAACATTTAAAAAAAACTACAGAATGAGATATGGGAAAGGACAGGGTTTGGGGATTAAAGCAAATATTTGAACCATTTTTAAATCTCCTGTTCCCCTACTGGATTTCCACCACTATATTTGTCAAGTGCCTAGAAACGTTCTTTGACTAGAAAGGCACTGTAAACACAAGCTTCTTGTAGTAAATTCCAGGAGTGGAGGGACAGAAGAGTGGTGGAGGGAACTTAGCATCGCAAGGACATAATGAACTAAATGGCCTCCTTCTGGGCTGAAAATTTCAAGGACACTAATCAAACAAATATAGAGTTTACTGGAAAATAAAAGGACTGTTCAATGCCATTTAATCTTTCGTGTTGGCCTTTCAAATGGTTTACCATTGATGATGGTACTGTGCAGTAGACTGGATATCGAATCGTTTGCCCAGTCATTATTGTCTACCCTAACATAGCAATCATTTTTTTTGTGTGGGGGGGATTAACTGTAAGGTTTAAGATTTGCAGCTGATAAGGTTCACGGTTCATCGTACCCACATACAAACCTTTATTTCAACATGTGAAGGAATTGGATTCTTTCAGATAATGCAGCTAATCTTTTCTGCCTGGGCTTCACCTCAGACAAGTATATTTCACCTCCAGACAATGATGAACTGTCCCTGACGATGTTGAACTACAAACCACACCTAATCTGCAGCTTTCTGATGGATTCACATCACATTTTCTTATCGGGCAAACCCATCAGGATTTTCATAGCATAAATGTGCGGTATTTAATACATTTGATCTGATAAATGCTCACCAATTCTATTTTACTATTTAAATTTAGGACTACATTTTTATCCTGCCATTGATCAAATTTACCTACAAGTACAGTCACTCCACTTTACAGCAAAATCCTGTGAAGTGCTTTTGAGACGTTGTCCTGATGTGAAAAGCTCTATATGGAGTCCTGTAGCTCAGTGGTTAGAGCACTCGCTTTGCAAGTGAGAGACCTGAGTTCAATTCCAGGCAGAGGGCGAAACCTTGGGCAAGTTTCCTTACTCCACACAGAGCCTAATAATAATCCCTCCAAAACCAAAAACAATAATAAATTGGTCATTTTCAATCTACGACTGTTTGTGGGACATTGCTGTGCGCAATTGGCTGCCGCGTTCGCCCACAAATATACAGTCAATTCACTTTACAGTGTGTTCTGTGAAGCGCTTTGGGACGTCCTCCCGACGTGAAAAGCATTATATCAAATGCAAGGATTATTATTATTTATATCAAATAAATGCAAGGATTATGAATATAGAATTATTATCACACAAGGGATGTTATTCTCAGAGGTACAAAGTAGCTGTGCAGCAGGAATTAGATGTCACTGAAAGAAGACAGGAGAATTGAGATTCCAAGGGATTTGCACACTATTCTGACTTGGTTTCTGGGTTCTGCTGCTCAAATTACTAATGAGAAAATAAACGGCCTATAAATCAATAAAATAAGTGGGACCACTGAGATGGAAACCCAGGATCCTTCAGTCACACATCTAGTGGACAACTGGTTGACCTTCCCAGGTTCACAGACCCATATAATAAGCAAAGGCCAGAAATTAACAAGGTGCAACTTAAAATACAATTCCATTGCAAAACCATCACTATCCTCCCATTACAATGTTTACTGTTCAGGCAATGCTTCTGAAAAAACTTATTAGAATTCTTTCAATACTGAAGAAAGATTTCAACATGAAATAAAAACCAATATTATAGCAGTTCACTGTCAGAATACGGGTGCCAAACTGCAATCGCTTCTGTACATTTGTTCCAATTCTTTTTCAATTGAGTTTATTGGAAATTTAGATGAAGTTATCTGTGGCGGTATTATAGATTATAAAACCTATGCACGCTTGGAAGCTGCAACACACTTCCAGTTCTCAGAGAAATAAAATTCATGTGTGGCAATTAACAAGAAAAGTTAAGTCTCAACAGGTCTGATTTCTGTGATACTGACAATTCCCTTTGAAATCTTGCTTGCATATTAGATCAAAGGATACTGAAACTCCTGTCTGTGATTCCTAAATGCCAGAGGTTAATCCTGAGGTCGTCAGCGGACATGTACGTCTCACAGTCACTGTTGACGGAGATCGAATTGATGTGATAGGTATGAGCGTTAGCAAAGATCCTCCGGGGGGTGACCTCCACCATAAGATCCATGGGCTTCAATACCGGCACCTACAGAGAGAAAGACATTATAACTAATGAGCCACATGAATCACAGCAGCTTTCTATGAACTCATTCACAACTCAGAATGGACTTTCATTCCAACATCGGTCTCTACACTTCAGAAAGCACCACCGTATTTGCACTGTACATTGCTCAAATTGTAGATTAGCAACACAAATTTGCTTAAGGGAAAAAGTATAGGTATTTACAAAACTGTTTTTTTTGTCAGTCAAGTGTCTGACACATGTGGAAAACTGTCATTAAACTTAAGAGTATCCAGACCAGACAGAGCTTCATGTATATATGCGACGTACACGTGGAAATTCTAGGGATGGGTGCTAAAGGCTGGCCTCGCCATCATCCTGAGACAGAGTAAAATATAAATACAACTTCCATAATACAAACATTAAAAGATTAAAATCTACGGACAGATCTTTCGTGAAACTAAATATCTTACAGTTAGAGCATTTTGTTTCCAGTGAATTTTCGGCAAGGATAATGGGGCAATAACAGACAACTGGATACCATTTCACCCTTCCTCTTAGCACTGTCCTTGTTATTGCTAGGCGCGTGCATCACTTGCAATATAATAATAATAATCCTTGCATTTGATATAGAGTCTTATCATGTTGTTGAGACATTTCAAAGTGCTTCACAGATTATACTGTAAAGTGAATTGATTGTATATTTTGTGGGCGAAACGTGGCTGCCAATTGCGCACCACAAATAGTAACCAATTTATTATTGTTTTTTTGTAGGAATTATTACCCCCGGAAAAGCAATCCGCCAATTGTCAATCAACCGGATTTCTACTTACTGCTGGGTAAACAGAGGCGTGTGGAGTAAGGAAACTTGCCCAACATTCTGCCTGGAATCAAACCCAAGTGCTCTAGCCACTGAGCTACAGGACTCCATGTAATTGTGTTATGTCAGAGGGATATAAATCACATCATCTCAAGTTTTTCCTGTAATACTACACAGACACCTGATCAGTTAATGTTATGGGGTATGACCCTTTCTCCAGACTGCATTGTGAGGCACTCCATTTGACAGAATTACAGGTCCCGAAGGGATTGCTGGATTTACAGCGATGTCGCCTCTGAACCTCTGCTTGAATTTGGAATCCCTACTATCTGAAGAGAATTTCACCAATGACATTGACCCTTTTCTTTTTAAAACATAAAATTACCACCAAAAATCTTTTGATTTGGGGAAATGTAAAATATTATTTTCCAGAAATATTATTTTCAAGCTTGTTTATACAGATGGGAAGCAATTGGACAAGCTGTGGTTGAGGTCAGGACCCTGGCCGTTTAAAAAAACAGTTTGATATTGTGATGGGAGGATGGTGGGTGGGTGTTCTGGAGAGATGATATCAGATGGACAATACGTCATTCTTCATCCAAACCAATACAATGATCTAGAGTTTTCAGTATTGGCACTCAGAAAGAACCCAGAAGTAACAAAAGCAGGTGGCAGCCTGATGTGATACTGGATAGAGCCACAGATTACAGACCAGGAACTTGCTGGTTCAAATCTTAGTTTGTGCTGTGTTTGCCAGTCTCAGCTGGGTTGCAGGGGAGGTTAAATTGGCCCTGGCCGTCCCAGGGTTAGAGATTTAAATCCATCGAGTTCTCTGGGCCTGATCACTTGCACATTTACAATGGCCTGGGGCAGGAGGGTGGTGGGGGGAAGAAATTGGAGGGTAACCATCAGTATCCTGTGTACATTGTGAGGTGATTTTTATTTCCCACTGTGTTTTTTAAAAAAATATATAAATGTATTAGGTCCAATTATTTTTAAAATAGTCTACCCATTAGCACTGCCTATGCTACTAATCACCAGCCTCCTCTCCTGACTCAAGAGGCCTGAGCATTACTAGCTGAGCCAGACTGACACTATACAAGGCTTTAACCTCCTTTTGTGCAAATTCCAATTTTTTCACTTAATTTTTTTCACTATTTTTACTTTAAAAGTTCAGCCCAATGGGAGGCATGAGAGTGTTGAGTTTTCAAGTGCTTTTTTTAATCTTGCTTTCTTTCATAGCCTTCCTCCCACACGTGGCTTTTTACAGTATCCATAAGCTATTAATTGCCTCTCCATATTTTGTTAGCAACACCCCAGACTGAAGCAGGGTCAACTCTCCCGTCATCATTAATATTAAAATAATCAGTATCTAAACATTTAGCTGCATCAGGGTTCTGAAACAAGGATTCATTAAGCCTCCATGGATGGACAATTAGACAATGGATCAAATATAAAATCAATTCAGACAGGAGCGTGATCCGAAGTGTTAGCAATGTCAATAGGAATATCCAATAATGATGGTATTCCACTGCAAGAATTAGTTTCAGCCCAGAATAACTGTTGCAGATAGTTGGTGTGAAGAGTATAAATAATCACATCCCTTGGGACATCTCAGGCTTCAAGCATCAGTCAAGCTCTGATCCTATAATTAGCCTGGTCAGAGATACACAGTCACCACTGTGAGTGCAAGGCACCAGTCCTGATCAATTTAGCACAAAGTCAAGGGCAAGATTACAATCTCCCCCACTTAGAAAAGGCTGATTCTTCAATCATTCTTCAGTTATTACCTCAAAATAATGAAGATTCTTGTTCAGGAACACATTTAGTAGAATCCTGTTACAACGTGCTTCATTAAATCGCAGGTTCGTTTGGAAAGGATTGAATGTGGACCTCAATATTTGCCTACTAAATAAATCCAACAAGAGTGGAGGAAGTCAAGAAGGATTGCTCTAAAATGCTGGCTGTCATCCTAAACAAATGTCCGACTTCAGTGTTATCAGGTTGCCGCCGACATCACTTCCTCATGAAGTGAAATCGCCAACGTTACTTCTGTGTGAAGTGGACAGGAAGTGATGTTGACTACAACCCGATGACCTGGAATTCAGCCATTCTTTAGTGTGGGTACCAGTCAGCGCACAGACAGATCTGTGCTTATGCACAGTGAATGCAGAAGTGTTAATGTCCCATTATAGCCCTATTGGGGATGTTAAGAACAAGCAACTACTGTATTATAATGGTGCCCCACTGAATAAATGGGCTTTGAAACGCTTTGAGACATCTCAAAGATGTGATAAGGTGCATTATCAAATGCAATGATTATTATTATTATTATTATAAAGAAATAGTTTTGGCCAATTGTGTGCAGGAAGTGGCATCAGCTGCATCTGCCATCCCAGAAGTCAGCCTTTTTCACATTTTGTTATAAAGGGCAACTGAGATACTGAATTCAGACGGCAATATTATAATAGTTGCCCTGTACAATCAGTCAAATGGACTCCCACTGTGTTGAACATTTCTATGGAGATTTGCATATGGACAAAGTATTATTGGTTCCCATTACTAATATAAAATAAGCTGCGACTCCAAAAATGGTTCTTCCAAATTGGACGTTGCGAAAACTGACGACTTTTCATTGTTGGGCTCAAGAGGCACGTTTGGGTCTGGCAATAAACTAGTAATATGAAACCACACAAATAGGAATTAACACACCCTATAGCAGGCACAGGCAGACATTTAAGTTCTGCAATGTTCAGCTGCTAGCCAGTCCTCATTCATAGGACATTGCTCTATCCCAGCCCCTCCGCCCTTGTGCCCAACATAGGCACAATTAGTAGCAGCTTGTCCTGTCTGTCTGACTCCCACGCATGTTGACCGAGATCAGCAACCTGTCTTGTGAAGGCTTTTAATCTGCTCTTCTAAATAGAGTTAAAACATCAAATTGTGCAGAAAGGATTATATAATGATAAGCTTTGCATTTAATACAGTACCTTAAATTATATTTTCTATATATTATATTTTCTATAAATTATATTTTCTCTTTGACCGAACCTTCGGTTCTCCTCTCGACTCTCTACCCCCTCCTCGCTCCCTCCCTTCCCTCACCCTGATCATTTCCCCCCTGCTCGGGTCCTGACCCAACTGTACAGCGCCTTGGGACGTCCTCCTGACGTGAAAGGCGCTCTATAAATGGAATCTTGTTGTTATTGTTGTACCTTATCACATCGTCTGGATTTCTCAAAGCACTTGACAGGATATACTGTAAAGGATGTACTGTACATGGTATGACAAGACCGAGGCTCTCCTGATTGGCTCCTGTCAGTGCCTCCTCAACTCGCGCTGACAGCATCACCATCCATGGTTGCACACTCCACTTTACTAAGCCAGATCGGAACCTTGGGGTCTTGTTTGACCCTCAACTATCCTTTCTACTCCACATCTGTGCCATGACCTGCTCTGCCTTCCCCCACCTCTGCAACGTCGCCCGGCTCAGACACTGTCTCACACCACAGGCCGTCGAAACCCTCATACATGCCTTCATTACATCGAGGCTCGACTATGCAAACTCACTGCTTGTCGGCCTCCCCAACTCCTCCCTCCATAGGCTGCAGATCATCCAGAACTCTGCAGCCCATGTCCTCTCCTGCACTGGGCTCCGCCACCCTATCATCCCCATCCTCGCCCAACTCCACTGGCTTCCTGTCACACAGGGGATACAGTTCAAGATCCTGGTCTTCACCTTCAAAGCTCTCCACGGTCTACCTCTCTGACTTCCTAAACCCCTACCACCCTGCTCACTCCCTACGCTCAGCGGGTTCTGGCCTACTTCACGTCCCCCGCCTTGCTCGTTCCGCTATTACAACAACAACAACAACAACAAGATTCCATTTATAGAGCGCCTTTCACGTCAGGAGGACGTCCCAAGGCGCTGCACAGTTGGGTCATGACCCGAGCAGGGGGGAAATGGTCAGGGTGAGGGGAGGGAAGGGAGGGAGAGAGGAGGGGGAAATGGTCAGGGTGAGGGGAGGGAAGGGAGGGAGCGAGGAGGAGGAAGAGAGTCGAGAGGGGAGCTGAAGGCACGGTCAAAGAGAAAGGTTTTGAGACCGGCCTTGAAGGAGGAAAGGGAGGAAGCAAGGCGAAGGCACTGGGGGATGGAGTTCCAGAGCCTCGGGGCTGAGAGGCTGAAGGCCCGACCACCGATAGTAGGGCGGTTGGGGCGGGGGACGTGGAGCAGACCGGAGCCAGAGGAACGGAGGGTACGGGCAGGTAGGTAGGGGGATAGTAGGTTGGAGAGGTAGGAGGGAGCAAGGCCGTGAATGGCCTTGTAGGTGAGGATGAGGATCTTGAAATCAATCCTCTGGGGGATGGGGAGCCAGTGGAGGCGAGCGAGGGTGGGAGTGATGTGGTCCCGAAGCCTGGTGCGGGACAGTACACGAGCTGCAGAGTTCTGAATGACCTGCAGCTTGTGGAGGGAGGTGGCGGGAAGGCCGGCGAGGAGAGAGTTCCCATAGTCCAGCCTTGAGGTGACAAAGGCGTGAACCAGGGTTTCAGCAGCGTGAGGGGTGAGGTAGTGCCGTAATCTGGCGATATTCCGGAGGTGATGGAAGGCGGTGCCAGTTGTGGTGCGGATGTGAGGGAGAAAGGACAGCTCAGGGTCGAACAAAACGCCGAGGTTCCTGACTGGCTTTGAGAGGTGGAGAGTGCAGCCTTGGATGCTGATGGTGTCAGCGCCTGAGGTGCGGAGGCGCTGACGTGAGCCAATCAGGAGGGCCTCGGTTTTTTGCACGTTGAGCTGAAGAAAGTTGTCTCTCGTCCAGGACTCGATGTCGGACAGGCAGGCTGTCAGGACATCGGTGGTCGTGGAGTTGAGAGTAGAGGAGGAAAGGTAGAGTTGGGTGTCATCCGCATACATGTGGAAGTTAACCCCATGTTTGCGGATGATGTCACCAAGGGGGAGCATATAGAGGGTGAAGAGGAGGGGACCGAGGACAGAGCCCTGAGGGACACCACATGAGACAGTACGGGGGGTGGAGGAGAAGCCATTCGTTGAGACGAAGTGAAGACGGTGAGAAAGGTACGACCTAAACCATTCAAGGACAGTGCCTTGAAAGTTGAGGTGGGAGGACAAGCGGTGGAGTAGGATAGTGTGGTCGACCGTATCGAATGCTGCCGATAGGTCGAGGAGGACGAGGAGACAGAGGGAGCCCTGGTCACAGATGGTCAGGATATCATTGGTGACCTTGACCAGGGCAGTTTCTGTGCTATGAGCAGCACGGAAACCTGACTGAAGGGGTTCAAAAAGAGAATGGGTGGAAAGGAAAGAGCGCAGTTGGGAGGCGACAACTCTTTCCAAGACCTTGGAGAGAAAGGGGAGGTTGGAGATGGGCCGGTAGCTTGATAGCTGCGACGCATCAAGGGAGGGTTTTTTCAGGGTGGGCGTGATGATGGCAGTTTTTAATGGAATGGGGACAGAGCCAGAGGAGAGGGACAGGTTTATGATGTCAGTGATGTGTGGGGCAAGAAAATGGAGCTGGGAGATAAGGAGTGGAGTGGGGATGGGGTCAAGGGAGCAGGTGGTTGGTTTTAGGGATAGGATGAGTTCAGTGACAGAGGGTGGGGAAACGGGTACGAAGGTGTGTAGGGGAGGATGGGTAGGAGTCGGAGTGTGGGAGGGAAGGGGTGGGTGGTGGGTGGAAGTTGGAGGGGAAGTGACCGCGGAGCGGATTCCCTTGATCTTGGATTCAAGGAAATCCAGCATCTCCTCGCAGTGAAGGTTGGAGGAGATGACCTGCGCGGGGTGGCGGGGGGACGGAGGAGTCGGGATGTGGTGGAAAACAGTAGCCTGGGGTTGTTCTTCGCCTCCAGGATTATCCTGGAGTAGAAGGACGACTTGGCCGAGGCTAGAGTGGAGCGGTAAATTTTGAGGAGGTCCAGCCAGATTTGTCGGTGGACCGTTAAGCCGGATTTGACAAAGGTGCGCTCAGCAGCCCGCACCTGGCATTTCAGTGAGCGGAGGTGGGTGGTGTACCAGGGGGAGGAGCGGGAGTAGGAGACAGTGCGGGAAGTGATGGGGGCAAGAGTATCGAGTGTGGAGGAGAGGATATTGTGGAGGAGGGAGAGAGGAGAAGAGGGGTCGGTGAGGGTTGAAGGCCAGAGGGAGAGGAGTTCAGAGGACTCCAAGGCATCGGTTAGGGATTGTGGGGGTAACTTCTTCCAAGGGCGGTAGAAGATGGTGGTGGGTCTGGTGGAGGTGGGGAGGGGGGTGGAGGTGGTGAAGGAGATGAAGTAGTGGTCGGAGATGGCCTTGTCGGTAATAGTGACATCCGAGACACTGAGGCCCCGGGTGATCACCAAATCGAGTGGGTGGCCGTGACTGTGAGTGGGGGAGTTTATGTGTAGGGAAAGGTTGAGTGAGGAGAGCAGGGAAGAGAAGTCTGTGGAGATGGAGCAGGAGGGGGTGAAGTGTAGGTTAAAGTCGCCCAGGATGATGAGGCGATCGGAGCAGAGGCAAAGAGATGTGAGGAGTGTTGAAATGTCAGAGATGAAGGTGGGAGAGGTTTTAGGGGGCCGGTAGAGGAGGAGGATTTTAAGGGAGAGGAATGAGGGGTGGGAGAGGGTGAGGTGCTCGAAGGAGGGGAAAGAGCCAGTGGAGTAGGGGGAGAGGGCAAGTGGTGTCCTTGAGATAAGGGCAACACCACCGCCACGGCGGTTGGGGCGGGGGATGTGGTGGGAGGTGTAGCCGGGTGGCGTGGCCTCCGTGAGGGGGAAGGTGTCGCCTGGGGTGAGCCACGTTTCTGTCAAGGCCATGATATCAACGTTCTCATCAAGGATGAGATCGTTGATGACCAGGGCCTTGTTGGAGAGGGAGCGGACATTTTGCAGTCCGATGTGGAGGGAGCGGTTGACAGAAGGGTGTGTGGGAGGGGAGGGGGGTCCAGGTTGTGAGGCAGGGGTGGGGGAGATGGGGATGAGGGAGGAGAGGTTGACTCCCCGGGTCTGTGTCCGGGGTGGCTGGCGAGAGTGGTGGGGAATATTAGCGGGCAGGCCTTCCGACACTCTGCATCCACCCCCTAGAACTCCATCCTGAAGTCCCTCTGTCTTGCCCCCTCCCTCGCCACTTTCAAGACTCACCTCAAGACCCTCCTTTTCTACTGTAATTTTGATCTCCCTGCTTCCCCCCCCCGCCCTCCACTCTTTCCCACCCCGAACCCCAGCTCGGGTCCGTAACTCTGTCTGTCCAACACCTTGGGACGTCCTCCCAACATGTAAGGCGCTATACAAATGTAATTTTATTGTTGTTGTATATCTGACTGACTGTGTATTTTGTGGGCCAATGCAGCAGCTAGCATGCAATGGTATTTGTAGTTTAATGACACAGTTACATTAAAAAACAGCAAAACACAGCACAAAATGAGTTTTGCCGTGCTAAAACATTATGTACATAAAGCCAGGTTGAGTTTCACTCTTTCAGAAATGTATAGTAACAATAATAGTAATAATCCTTGCATTTGTGCCTTTTAAATTGGAAAGATGTCTTAAAGTGTTTCTCATGATTACTGTAAAATGTGGCAACTGTGTATTTTGCACTGCCTAATTTCCTGCAACTATGGAAGCAGTATCAACTTCACTAAACTATCGTGACCCACATGGAAACCATCACCACGCTTAAGAGTCTCCAAACTAAATTACTGAGAGTTCCTCATTTGTATGGTTTCCATTCATCTGATATGGAGTTGAACTCTCTCTCCAGAGGAGCACATTGTGCTAACCTAATCCAAGAGAGTTCAGTGATAGTTTATTAAAGGAGATCCAAAGGCTGGGGACGCCAATGTGTCCGTTGGATAACTGCTGGAGCTTAACCAGTTAAAACCATCCAGTCTACCATTGCAAAAACTGGCACATTTGCTGCCATCTGTCTGGCTTGTTCTACCCTACAGATTATGGTTTTGGCAGGATTCGCAGGAGCTCAGTGGGAAGAGCCCTCACCTGGACTGATGTCTCAATTATTAGGAGTTGTGCTTACCTGCAGCACTGTAACCGTAGATAGGTCCTTGAGTCTGCCTTCTTCATCTTTGAGGTTATAACCTTCTGGCCTCTTGTCCCTTTCACTGACCTTCCATAATTTAATAGTTTTATCTAAAAGAATTAAGAAGACATCACAGTGCATCAAGAAGAGAGCAGCAATAGATGTGAATAGAATTACATTAATGCCAACAACTTGGATTTATATAGCAGCCTTCACATGAAGCAGAGGCTCAGGAGCAGTGGTGGAGCTTGATACCGAGCCAGGGAGAAATGGGAGGTTACCGTAGGCATAGTCAAAGACAAATAAGTTTTTTTTCTTTTTTTTTCTGAGGTTTTCTGGTGCAAACTGAAGATGGGCAAAATGGGGCAAGGCAGAGGGATTGAGGCAGAGAGTCTCAGAGTTTGGGGACACAGTGGCTAAATACATGGCCGCCGATGGTGGACTGGAAGGGGGGAGAAGGTGGTGGGCTCAATAATCAGGGTGTGGGAGAAGAGATTGCAATGTTTCTCTTCCTCCATTATGTGGGTTCCTGCAAAACCTGTGAAGTTCTATAGAGGCAGAATCCATTGTGGGTTTCAAGAGGAAAGTACACAGGTATATAATAACAATAACGATCCTTGCATTTCTTATAGCACCTTATCACGTCTTCGAAACGTTTCAAAGAGCTTCACAGAACATACTGTAAAGTGAATTGAGAATTGACTGCATATTTTGTGGGAGAAATGCGGCAGCCAATTGCGCACAGCAGTGTCCCACAAACAGTCGTGGATTGAGTGACCAAATTATTATGAAGGATAGAGGCTTGAAAGGGCATGGGGATATTTGTAGGAACTCTTAGGAACACGAGCAGGCGAGTAAATTATTTGCTTCAGTCAGGGTTCGACCACCGCCAATTTCTTGGACCCTGTAAATGTTGGTATGTTTTAGGTCTACATCAGGCTCAGTGTTTTTTTTTGCTCAATATCAGTTTATTTTTCCAGAAGGGCTGAGGTCTAAGCAATCTGAGGTAAAAAAAAATATTTTACTGACCAGTTGTGCTAGACCCAAAAGATTGGTTCAGATTTGGGGCTCTTTCCAATGACATGAAGACTATTCATATTCCAATGTGAACATTGACCTATGAAGGAATAAATTGCAGGGCTATGGGGAAAAGGCAGGTAAATGGGACTGGAAATGGATTGCTCTTTAAAAAGAGCCAGCACAGACATGATAGCCTGAATGGCCTTCTTCTGTGCTGTAAATTTCTATGATTGTATTTCAATTGCATCTAATTTTTTCTAAGTAAAATGCATCATAAGCTATATATTTTCCACCAACAAAAAAAAACGCACAAGCACATTTTGAGTATCCTTGAAAATGCAACATTTAAACTGCTGCAATTTTTTTCCTGTACCACGGCAGACCAGCTGCGTACTTACCGTTGGTTGAAAGGAGGAAGTGAGCTGCATTCTGTTGAGGGAGCCATCGGATCTTATTGATCTTTTCTTCTATTTCCAGACTTTTCAGGTAATCAAACTCGGGCTCATGACTCTGGAAGGTGCTGTAAACATTGTATTCACCCTGCTGGTGAGGCTGTTTTTTTGTCTATGATAAAAAAAATACGCTAGTTTCAAAGCAGAAAATACTCAGGACTTTTTTTTACCCCCCGAGACACAAAATTTAATACTGGTAGGTGAACTTTCAGCAATTCTGTCCCCTCGCTTCTCCTTCAAAACCCACCTTAAGATCTATCCTTTCTTCCATCATCACTCTTAACCCAGATCCTTCCCCACATCTCCCCTCCCCAATCTCAGAGAGTGTGACGTGAAAGGTGCTATATAAATGTAAATAGTAATTGCTGTTGATCTGAACCCGTTTTTTGACAAGTCAACAACAACTTGAACATAGTAGTCAAGCACACATTCTGCCAATTAATCTATTGCCTCCTCTCAAAGTTACAAGTCTTGATAATCAGGTTGACATGCAGGGTTACATTCCATTGACACCCACCTCTTGTTCTCTCTGGAAGATAACAACTCGACCCCCCTTGTCCCCTGTAGCCAGCAACTCTCCAGTGTGGTTGAACTCGACGGTAGAAATTATATCAGCTGAAGGAGAAAGAATCAAAGAAAGAAGGTCAAATGTAGAACTGAATGGGGATTATATGTTCAACTATAGGTTAGCTTGTAAAAGATATTAAAAGATGAAACTTTCAGAATGCTACCCAAAGTTTTATTTAACCCGGAGGTTAAAAGATGACATGCAGGAATATTTCACATGCACAAAGTTAAGGTTTTTAAACTTACAGAAGTAATATTGAACACAATGGGCATTCACCAGGAATTGTTTTAAATCTAAGTGAGAAGCATTCCTTGACCAAGTAACACCACCAGGTTAGCTATTTTCGGCCCATTGATTATTTGCCTGCACAAATAATAAAACCAACAGAGAGTGCAGCAATAAAATATGCTCGGATAAGTTTACGCCACTTAGTACTTTGAAAATGATAACATCTAATTTACAATCCTCAACTGTATTCAAAATAAAGGTATAGACTGGACCCTGGTATATTCAGAGATAAAGACCCCACATTATATTCAGAGACACAGACTGGTATGTTCAAAAACAAATGTAACATTCTATGGATTACAGTAAACCCGGATCAAGAGTTTAGGATGCATCATGACAATAAAACAAGATGGGTTTAGGCTCAAAGGGCAAATTCATGACAGATACTTATAAGTTTTTCTTTACACAGAGGGTAATCAAGAAAGATGGGCTCTTTTAAAAAGCAGCTTGATGCAGTGCTGGGGGAGTTGGTATGGTGGGTTTTATGGTGGGATGAGATCAGATAGCTGAAGGGCCTTCTTCATCCAGACTGATCTCGTGATCTTCTGAAGGAACAGTATGGTTGCATTCCTCTATAAACATATTAGGAACTAGGTTTACGCCAATCCTGTTTCATGGACTAGGACTGTGCTTTGTAAACAAACTTGAATGCAGTGAGAAAATCCTCTTTCATGCAATTTACACTGGTAGTCTGGCTCTAGATAAACATACACGAAGGTTGCATCAATTTTCAAAACCTTCATCCTAGCAATTCTTCCCATTAGCAGGTGATGCAGAAGCAACTGCTGATTGTGGAAAAAAACATCTAATGTACAACGCAGCCAGGCAGGGCACTGCCTGATGCCATTTCAGCATAGAAGATGCCATTCGGCCCAACATTCCTGTTCCAGCTGTCTGATAGAGCTATGAATTTAGTCCCAATCACCTGCCTTTGGCCCATGCCCCTTTATATTTTTCTTTTTTCAAATATTTATCTAATTCTTTTAAAAACTATTATGGATTCTGCTTCAACCACTGTTTTGACCAAGAGGGCACCCAACCTCACCGCACCTGCCATGCTGTTTCTCTGCTACCTTTATTTCACTTTTAAGACCAGTTCCTCATTGGCATTATTAGCTTATGGGCATCACCTCTCCTTTCTACATGCCTTGTAACACCCATTTAGGTGCCAAGTTTTATCATTATATACCAATAATAATCCTTGCATTTCATATAGTGCTTTATCACGTCATCGAGACATCTCAAAGCGCTTCACAGGATATACTGTAAAGCAGAGCGCTGTGTATTTTATGGGCAAACATAAACCAAGGAGGTTTATAGTTTAAGTGTTTTGTTGCACCTCCTTCCCTCACATCACAGTGATCAGTGTGAAAGAAGGTTTGCAAAACAACAGGAAAGGAAGAAGGTAAACTAACTGAATGTGCTGCTTTCAGCAACAATTGATTGATGAACTAGGCAGCAGGTCAGTTCTTCAAGCAAAGCTGTCTGGAGAAGAAAATTATGCAGAGCTCCAAACTGGAGTAATTTTAAATTTCCTCTAGCCCGCTCGCTCTTTCTCTTTTATAATCCCAACACCTTGGAACGTCCTCCCGATGTGAAAGGTGGTATATAAATGCAATTTGTTGTTGTTATAATCGTTTTGACTTTAAGACATAGAATTACTTCAGTTTACTGAGCTCCATGGCTTGGGTTTCATCTCCTGGGAAAACTGGGCATCTGTATTCCGGGGCTTCTGTATTGTGTATAAATACAATATGATGTATTACTTGTTATGTTTAAATAAAATCAGTGCAATGATGCAATGTAATGTGCCAATTTAAGAAGTCATAAGCATGAGCAACTTGAAGGTTACAATTACTTTGTGTGTTTGATGTTGTGTTATAGCTGGGCACTGGTACAACACAATAACAATCTACATTTATATTGCACTTTTCATGTTCGGAGGATGTCTCAAAGTGTTTCACAGCGCTGGATGGGCTCCTGAGTTAGGGGTGGGAGGAGAAAGACAAAAGCACAGTCAAAGAGAATTGCCTTGAACGCAGGGAGAGATGGAGTCAGAGGAGCTCTGGGATGGAATTCTCGAGAGCAGAGACACAGTGTCTGAAAGCCTGCCTGCTGATTATGGAGTACATGTTCGCTGAGCTAAGGGAGAATAGGTGTTTTTTCAATATAACCCAATATGACATAATTACTGGGCATCCTCTTCTATCTCACTCACTTAATTATGACAGCTCCTTTCCCCAACCTCTGCAAAAGTAGTTGCCGCTTGCCTAAATTCACACCATTCTTCTTATGGGTACTGCTCAACACAAGACAGCTTATAACCTCAACTTTTGCAGAAGCCACATAGTGAGGCAATCACACTCTATCCATCTTAATCAGGAAATGTCTTGCACTTCTACCATGTCATCGCACCATCAAACAGAAAAGTGCTGAGCTGTTTATAATGCAGAGAACAGTAGTCTCCAAGTAAATAGGTTTGCAGAGACATTTGTGACTTGAGCACAGCACAGACTAGAGTTCTGTTTATTGTACTACAGCCCTAAATAGACCATTCCCATCTGAACTTAATACAAAAGCAAGCAAGTGATGCTTCAGTTGTACAGACCCTTGGTCAGACTCCATCTGTACTGCGTTCAGTTTTAGGCACCACATCTCAGGAAGGATATTTTGGTCTTGGAGGGGCTACAGCGCAGATTCACTACAATGATACCGGGGATGAACGGGTTAAATTATGAGCATAGGTTGCATAAACTTGGTTTGTATTCCCTGGAGTTCAGAAGGTAAGGATGATCTAACTAAGGTGTTTAAAATGATAATGGCATTCAATAGGGTACATACAGAGAAACTATTTCCTCTGTTGGGGAAATCCAGAACACAGGAGTGTAATCTTAAAATTAGAGATAGACCATTTTGGAGTAAGGAGCAAAACCAGAAAGCATTTATTCATACAAAGAGTAGTGGAAATCTGGAATTCTCTCCCCCAAACGCCTGTAGATGCTTGATCAATTGGAATTTTCAAGACCGAGGTCGATATATTTTTGTTAGGTAAGGAGACAGATATGGAGAAAAGGCGAGTAAACAGAGTTGAGCTACAGACCAAACATGATCTGCCATGATCTAATAGAATGGTAGAATGGACTCGAGGGGCTGAATGGCCTACTCCTGTTCCTATGTTCCTGTGAAAACAAGCTCTCACATGTTACACCCAAGCTTACACTTAGTTCGTGGAACTGGTATTATCAATCTCCTGCAATTGTTTAAATCCAATGGAGGAATCTTGCAATGCCCAGACCTGATAGTCTCCTGTGTTGAAATTTCTATGATATCTTCCCACAGATATTGAGAAGAGATTCCTGTCAGCCCACCAGTCGGTATCAGACTGATAATCTCTAATTCTGCAGGTACAATCAATACAGTACATGAAGCTTTTTCATTTTCAAGGTGCAACTGAGAGTAGAAATCCACGTTCTTTATTCTTGATGAACAGCCTTACACATTTGCAACAAGGTAAGCTTGCAGTTGAAATACAAAATGGCTTTCTCCACAAGCTCCAGACCACGCAGAACTCCACAATCCTCCGCAGACCTCCTGTGTTAGGCTCATCACCCTCCTCCTCACCCAGCTCCTCTGGACACCTTATTTTCCCAATGACTAAGATCTTTGCCTTTATCTTCAAATGCCCCAGTGGCCTGATCCCCACCCTACTCCTGCAATCTCCTGCTATTATTATTATTATTATTATTATTATTATTATTATTATTATTATTATTATTATTATTATCATCTCCTACCTCCCCGGTGATTCACTTTGCTCCACCAACTCTGATCTCCTTCTTGGCCCACTCCACCCAACCCACCATCAGCAAGTAAGCTTTCAGCCACTTTGCCTCCATACTCTGGAACCCTCTGCCTCACCCCTTCTTTTCTGCATTCAAAATTATCCATTTGACTGTGCCTTTGGCCATCTCCCCTTAGATTACCCTTCCAGTTCAGGCTCCTACTCAATCTTTGTAAACTGCCTGAAATAGTCTCCCTACATTAAAGATGCTGTATAATTGAAGATGTCTCAAAGTGTTCATGGGATTTACTGTAGTGTAGTGACTATGTATTTTGTAGGTGTACAGCAGAGTAAGCTTGATGGGCTGAATGGGAGAATATTGTTGCTATGTTTTTTGGTGCTTATTATAATCGGTTACATTACCGTGGTTCTCCAGTTCCATAGTTAGATTTTCATGACTGTGACTAAACTTCCAGCAATCTGAACTTAGACTGTATCAGTTCAAAGTCCCAAAGTGGGCCTGGAACCCACAGCCTCCTCACTTGGAGGCAAGAGTACTGCTGACTGAGCCAGGCTGACAATAGGTAATAAAAGCCCAAATAAATTATAGTTTCTTTTGTTTTACGGACTTTTGAAAGTCAGAACCGTTGCAAAGTTGCATGGTATAAATGCTGATGAGGATCAGTTACTAATTGATTTGATCTAAATATAATACAGTGATCACATTGCACATTTCAAACCCAAACCTGGCAATTACTGCACGCACAGGTAACGATATCATCCATCACGATGGTTTCCGTGGCATGAAAGGGATTTATTTCTAGAACATTCCCACGGTTAATCCATCAACGCTTAATCAACTGTTGAGGCAAGCCCAGTTGATATTTTGCTGCAAATTAAGAATGTGAGTGCTTTTAGGAACTTTAAATCCAATCGCTGTACAAGAGACAGTTCACTCTTCGCAGTCAGTGCCTGAGT